CACTGGCCACCTCCTGCATGACGTGAGCATGCACATGCCTCCAGTCTCAGTGGTCACTGTAGAGCTGAGACACATTTATTAATTCTTAGAGCCCTTTTAAAAATGGACACTGTCATATTGAAACATGAGTTATGTTCTCCTGAAGGCTGGGTGTGAACACTGCAGACACCTCATGGGTCAAGCAGAGAAGGGCATTAGACACTGTCTCTTTAAACATGAGAATGGCCATACTGGGGCAGATCAACGGTCCATCTAGCCCAATATTCTGTCTTCTAACAGTAGCCAGTGCTCAATGCCTCATAGGGAATGAACAGACCAGGGCAATTATCGAGTGATCCATCCCCTGTCATCCACTCCCAGCTTCTGGCGGTCAGCAGTTCTGGCAGGCAGGGACACACACACCCCACCCCCAGAGAATGAGGTTGCATCCTTGACCATCTTGGCTAATAGCCATTGATGGACCTATCCTCCATAAATGTATTTAATTCTTTTTTGAAACCAGTTATACATATGGCCTTCACAACAGCCCCTGGCGGATTGTTGACTGTTCAGAAAACTATTCACAATGACTCCAAGATCTTTTTTCTTCAGTGGTAACAGCTAATTTAGATCCTATCATTTGGTATGTATAGTCGGGATTATGTTTTCCAATGTGCATTACTTTGCACTTATCAACACTGAATTTCATCTGCCAACCTCATCTGTGCCTGTTATAGGAAGCAAGGGTGAGGGAGAGTCCACTAGCGCCTACATGGTTATGATTAGACGTTCCAAGCAAATATGGTTCAAGCATACAGGCAGTACAATGGGAAAACACAGACTATTTGGATTTCTTCAGGGCAATCCCAAGCTGCCTTATTAGAGCAGAACAGTGCAATTCCATCCAAACACGCTAGGTCTACTGTTTAGTTTGTTTAATTATTTATTTAAATACGAAGTATTAACAGGGTTACAAATCCTTGCCAAGTAAATATCAGAATCGAAAAAAGAGTCATTACAACACTCGGCTTCTCTTTAGAGCAGGGGTCTCAAACTCCCGGCCCGCGGACCATCTGCAGCCCAAGAAACTCCCCAATGTGGCCCGCGGGGCTCCAGCAATTTTGGGGCCGGGTCTCTCCCTTGGCCCTGCTGCTGCCTCCAGGCGCTCCCCCAACCTGCGTGTTGCCCAGGGGCCCTGCCCACCACCGGCAGCGCAGTGGAGCTGAGTGGCTTCCTGCGCACTCGCTCCAGTGGCTGCCAGCCCCTCCCTGCGGCCCCGGGGTGGGGCTGTGCCTCCACGTGCTGCCCCCACCCCAAGCGCCCCTGCGGGCAATAGGAAGCTGCGGGAGCGGTGCCTGGGGGCAGCAGCATGCGGAAGCCCCCCAGCCTGCCCCACCTTGGATCCCCAGGTAAGCATCGCACTCCCCGACCCCCTCCCAGAGCCTGCACCCTCACCCCCTTCCCACACACCCCCAGCTGCCAAACTCCCTCAAAGAGCCTGCACCCCTTCCCCCTTCCCACATACCTCCTCCTGCCCCCAAACTCCTTCCCAGAGCCTGCACCCCCTCCCCACATACCCCCTCCCTCCCCCAAACTCCCTCACAGAGCCTGCACCCCTCCTCTCCCCTCCCCACATACCCCTCCCACCTCCAAACTTCCTCCCCGAGCCTGCACCCCCTCCCCACATACCCCCTCCCTCCCCCAAACTCCCTCACAGAGCCTGCACCCCTTCCTCTCCCCTCCCCACATACCCCCTCCCAGCCCCAAACTCCCTCCCAGAGCCTGCACCCCAATCCCCTACCCCAGACCACCTCCCCAACCCAAACTCCCTCCCAGAGCCTTAGGCAGGTGGTGGGGGGCAGAGTTTGGGGCGGGTGGATTCTGGGCAGCATGAGTGACATTATTGGCCCGCTGGGAGGATTTGAGGACTGGCACTGGCCCTAAGGTTCTGTCTATACTCGTTCATAAGCTGAATATTTTTGGTAAAAAAGTGACGCATCAAAGAGCGGGGGTCGGCTTATAAATGGGTCTACACCAAAATGCGATGATTTAAAACTCTATGGAATCATTGAATTGAATATCTAATGCATTGTCATTTGGTTTACCTGGAGCGTCTGCAGGCACGGAGCCCCTCAGCTCTCTGTAGCCGCGGTTCGCCGTTCCCAGCCAATGGGAACTGCGGGAAGTGGCGCCACTTCCCGCAGCTCCCATTGGCTGGGAACGGCAAACCGCGGACACTGGGAGCTGAGGGGCTCCGTGCCTGCAGATGCTCCAAGTAAACAAAACGTCCCGACCCGCCCGCAGCTTACCCTGATGGGCCAGGAGCCAAAGTTTGCCAACCCCTGAAATATAGGGATGGCTTATGAAAGGGTCATACAGTTTTTGCTATTTTTACCTAACCATCTTTGGGGGTCGGCTTATAAATGAACGAGCTAATGAATGAGTATATACGGTAAATTGAGTGTGAGACCCCTGGTTTAGAGAGCCATTATACAGGAATATAGTCATTAGATCTCTCTATTTAACAGGATGTAACCCTTTAACAGAGTTAGCATCATTACAACACCTGTTGCATGTCACTTCTAGTGATCTTATTAAATTGAGTGAAATCTCTGATTACACATTTAACAGACCAGACATGTCAATCAAATGTTAATATTCAAAAAAATTAACCAGGTGAATGTATTTTGAGTATTGACTAAAAGGTAAGCAAATATCTATGTATTTATTTGTCCTTTGTCCATTTTGCTATTATTTTCCATAGCAATAACCTCCCATATTTTTAACCATTCCTCCCTCTACAGCTGGATTATTTTTCCTTTTTCCATCAAGAGGTTACCAATAACCAAGAAGCTACTACCAGATGAGGAACTAATTCTTTATTTCATTTTGTGTGACAATTTCCTCAAGGAACCCCTAGGAGGATTACTAAAGGGTCATTTGGTAATAACTATCCAACAATTTATGATATTTGGTTAAAAATTGCATCTCAGTGCTTTCTAATGACTGAACATGTCTACCACATATGCACAAAATCTCCTTTTTCACCACAGTTTCTCCAACATTTATTCTCATTCAATCTCTCTTTATATAGTGTATGTTTACTTTGACTGCTATGAGACACCAGTGAAACAGTTACTAGTCCTCTTTTCCACATCAAACCCCATTTCTCTGGGATAATTTGTCTATCCAGGAGGACATATTTCCAGCATGCCATGTATGGACGTTTCTTGGTTAGGAAAGTTGTCTGCAAAGATTGATAGCAATTAGTTATAAGTTTTTTGTTTCCTAATTGCCAAAATGCCCTCACTTCTATTCAAGTTAGCTTTTGGTACGAAACCAGTTTTTCTAGAAAGTTGAGAAACAATGCCTGACTTGAAAGTACTGGTACCATGTTAAGTTAAAGTTAGTTTTGATGTCTAAATAAGTTAGAAAAGTTTCTTTACTGGATTGTTGGCCAACTGTATGTATTCAACAGTCTACCCTTTTTTGAGCAACACCCTGGGGTCAGTGCTACCCGATGTTCATGCAGATTTGCTGCCAAGCAGTAGAAAACACACCCTTCGTGTTCAAGCCACCTGTATAACACGTTCAGCCTTTAGGAGTTTATGGGATGATTTGACCTTTATCTAAATTCAGATGATAATGAGAACTTGCAGCAGCAGGGTGTATAATGGATGGATCACCCACACATGAAAGCCAGTGAGAGACTTCAAGACTATGTACAAAGGGAAAGAGCACAAAGATGCCAGGTTTACAGGAAGTCTTTATTTTTAATTACAGAAGCTTTCGTGCACCATTAAGACCATGTTCTATTGAAAGCAGCTGCATGTTTTCCCCTCACATCTATAGCCAGGCAGAAGGGAAGATCAAGAGTTCTGCCTGCTGAGTTAAAATGGCTCCTCTCACAAATTTATATCGAGCTTGCCATAATAGAATCTGAATGACTTGAAGGAGCATCCTTGCCCAAGTTTTTTATGCCAATCATTCCTGACAAGAAGGAGGAACATTTTAAAAACTCACTGACTTCAGTGAGACCAGGATTGGGGCTTGGATCTAGTTTAATAGACATGTGGCTGCGCTATCAGGGTAAATGTCATGCAGCCAGTAATGCTAGGGGAAAGATGCTACAGCTAAGGAGAGCTGGATGTTCTCCCCACTGATGCACAGGGAAAAACCCCATATAAGGCAGATGCTTTGGTAGCCACTACAAACTTTCATCACAGGGAGTGAAAAACTGCAGCTGCTTTGTATCTTTCTATGCTTTTTGAACACGAAGTACTTTCAGATCCTGCACTAATTCCAACAGAAAAGCTATACATCATGGTTTTGTATCTCATTCAACTTAAAAAAAAACAATATCGAGGCTGTACCACCGGAGAAAGTAATGGAAAGGTAAGAATTACAGTTAAATTTAATCACGTTCGTTTCCTAAGATGTCTACCCAAAAGCATCCCCAACAAAACAGGAACATGTCCACATTGAGACAGCTTCTGCAGCTCTTGCCACACAAGCTGTGCTTTTAGATTGCCCTTTTCTTTGCTACGATGACGAGGTACTTAGGACCCAGATCGTCAGCAGGTAAAAATCAACATCGCTCCACTGACTTCAGTTGAGCTATACCGATTTACACCAGATGAGGATCTGGCTCTTAAAAAACTTATTTCCAGTTGCAAGTGGAGTCAAACCCCAAGCCTTCCTTCTCTGGATTATACAAGAAACATTTCAAAAAGACAGTTTTACTCTTCACTTACAAGTCAGTAAAATTTAGGGTGGGATGTTTAAATAAACCCAAGGGACTGAGAGGCCCAGGTCACATTCACTTGCAATCCCTAAATCTCTCAGACTGCTTTAAAAATCTGAGCCTTTATTGTCTTGCCCCAAGTAAGGGCAGAGTGCTCAAGAACACTGCAGGAAAGTCAAAACCAACCAACCATGGAATTTCAGTTTAGTAAGCCTATTCTGGTTTATTTATTTTACAATTAGACACAAGGCCGTTAATTCACAATAGAACAAACCCCACGCTACACCACTCCCCACCCAACAACTCCTCTGCTCCAAATGCACAAAGAACGGTACAGTTTTAAGGCTTTTGTTGAGTCAGCATTGCAGAGGAGATCCCTAAATGGCAGCAGCACTGCGAACAAACCTGAAGGCACAGGCCCTTCAGAAGGGAGAGGAGAGAGACAGCTCTTGAACTGACCTGGACCTCTCACCTGTCCCCACCCAAACAAATCCAGGATGCTTAATCAAAACCATGGCAAACATTTTCAGCTGGAAAGGTTTCTTCTAGTACCATATATGACGTGTGCAGTGCTCAACGGCCTAGGAGAAAGAGGAAGAGAGGTGTGAAAGAGAGGCCTGTATTGTCATATTATAACATAGACAGCGTCAATTTGCACAAACAGCTTGGAGCACCAGCACCATTCAGGCTTTAAGGGCAAACTAATATTAAATTTGCAGCCTATATAGGCATCTGTATGCACCAGCAAGCATTCTGTGACTGAAACATCTCACTGCCAGCACAGGATGGTCACTCCAGTAGAACATCTAATCCTTTGGCCAGCGTAATTGTAAGTGTTCTAGCAGTGGCACATTTACACTTCTTCTGAAAGGACCTGAGAGGTAAGCAAGAGCTGACAAGCCTCTATTCCCACTAGATAAACCTCCCTTTCCCAACAACCGGCGGCCAGGCATTTGTAGTTCTTTCTCACAAATGTGGCCTGATTCTCCTCTCATTTACACCAACACTACAATGATGATAATCCACGTCATTCAATGGAGTTACTCCTCATTTAGGCCAGCGTAAGGAGAATCAGGTTCAATATTTTTAAAGTACTTTAGTTTGTTGCCCATTAATTTAATGGCATCTCAGACTCTCCCCTCTGGGGGAATCTTTGGTGACTTACATTGCACTGAGCTGCAGTCTCCATGTTCTTACACCAGTAGCTTGGGCCCCACACACATGGATCTTCACCCATGAGATCCTCTTTGGATGATACACAAGCTCCTATTTTCTGTGCAGTGAAAGAAGAGAGAGAACAAAAGGTGCAGTTGTGTCTTCCTGATTACCATTGACATCAGTGATCTCACTTCTCCCTCCCCGCCCACCCCCATGATTCAGTGCCTCCTGCACAGCCATGACTATGTCCAGGGGGAGTTGGAGCGTGTAGACAAAGCAGAAGCAGTGCTGGGAGTTTCCAACACCACAGTGCTAGACTGCTATAGACAGTTGGGTTTGTAGCTGAATGAACAGACTTGTGAGAAGTCCCTTGAGAGGACACCAAATTTCAGACTCTAGACAATTTCAGCTTCTATGCTGGCTGCAGATTTGTGGATCTAATATTGAAGATCCCATCTGAAGCAGGGACACGCACCTCACACTGCATTACACGACAGTTACATTTCCTGCATTTGAATCACGATTTGCATGTTTAATCTTTGCAAAAGGTAAATACTGTAAATCTATTTCTTCTTTCCTGGCAAAAAAACAATAGTCTATGAACAGCTTTCATGAGACCATGCAATTGAACAGCTAAACTGATAGTATACTTGCCCCATCGCATATGCCAGCAGAACTACTTACAGTGCACACAAAAGAAGGATCCAATATCTGTACCAGGAGTCGTAGGGCTTCTGGTTCATACTGCAGCACAATCTCATCACACTGTAACAAGAAGAGATGACATGAGACTGAATGCTCTGCTAGACCATCACGAGACAAAGACAAAGTACCCTGATTCAAACAGGGGAACCCCAGATTGTCTTGTGCTTTATAGATGAACACATGTTTCCATTGAGATTGGGGAAGAGGTGGTGCTTGGGGAGAGTAGTTCAGTCCTTTAGAAATGTGCAGTGCATTACTACAGGTCAGGACGATTGCCCAAGAAATGTACAAGCTATCGCTTTCCCTCCTTCCCCACCACACACTCTGTATGCAGTGAGGCAGGTAGGAGAAGGAGAGGAAGCTCCTATGACCTTATGCTGAAACACAAAGACTTGCACTCCTGTGCAGGAGCTGGCCAAAAGGTGGCTCTGCCCTGCACTCACATGCTATGAATGTGTCAGTTACTCTCAGCAGCAGTGCCAAAGTACTGAGGCAGCCAAATGCTCTTAGGCAGCTAGTCTGTAGTTCTGGTATGACTTTTCCCCCCAGAGGTAACACTGCGGCACCAAGGCTGCAGCCATGACAGCTTTTACCCAGACAGCAGACAGCAAAAGGATCCACAAACTCATATTGCTACACAAAGGTGGATTTTTAGACTGCTGACAGCTCAGGATGGGAAGGCGCCAACTCCTTTAACGCTCAAGAGAAGGGCTTGAAACTCCTCCACACGTCCCTCTGACTGTTATTGCAAATGACTGAACAGCTCAGATACGGCACAGTGCCAATAAAGGACAGTATACGATACATTTCCAGGGCATGACGACATACACCTGAGTTAGCACATGAGGCGTCTATCTCTAGAACAGTTCTGCTGTGATGCTGGACTAGGTGGCTTTATACCTTTGTCCATTTTGTATTATGCTCTGATTCTGATTGGGAGGCAGCCTGCCACATATCCAGGGACAGGTGCCGCCGTCTGATCTGCCAGAGATCAACTTGCTCTGTGCACATGCAGTTTATTTTGAACAAAAAGAAAGTCTAACTTATTTGGTGCTGAGTAAGAGGAGAGAAATCCCAGCAGGGACTTAGAGCTAATACACATTCCAGAGTCTCAGCTGCACTGTGACCAGTTTCAAAGCAGAGACACCAGCCCATGAACCTTTCCATGATTCTCATGATTCACCTGCTGGAGATGGAGGCAATCAGCCATTTCAAGCACAGAAGCCACTGCGAAGACTCGGACATTAATGTCCAGCCTCAGTGCATGTGAATTTGTTCCCATTTGGATTTTAGAAAGGATAATCTAAAATATATAGGTGTAAAGCATTAAGGGTGGGGGGAAGCAGCAGATAGGTGACAGGCACTGCGGATGGGGCACAACAGTGGTTCTCAACCAGCAGTACAAGTACCCGGAGATTAACGCAAAGGTCTTCCAGGGGGCACATCAACTCATCTAGATATTTGCCTAGTTTACAACAGGCTACGTAAAAAGCACTAGCTAAGTCAGTACAAACTAAAATTTCATACAGACAATGACTTGTTTATACTGCTCTATATACTATACACTGAAATGTAAGTACAATATTTATATTCCAATTGATTTATAATTATATGGCAAAAATGAGGAAGTCAGGAATTTTTCAGTAATAGTGTGCTGTGACACTTTTATATTTTTATGCCTGATTTTGTAAGCAGGTAGTTTTTAAGCGAGGTGAAACTTGGGGATACGCAAGACAAATCAGACTCCTGAAAGGGGTACTGTAGTCTGGAAAGGTTGAGAGCCACGGGGGCACAAGACACATGTTTTAGCCAGCTGGGTAGGGGACATCAGATCTTCCATCCCCACAATAGCTACTTGCAGTTACCTTGTCTGTGAAGGGTTTTGGCAGTAAATGACAGCCCTTCACAAGCAGAGTCCCAATTTCAGCCTGTGTCTCGTTCTCCTCCAGCTCATTGTCAATATAAGTTACAACAATCTGACACACGTTGCAGAACTCGCCAACATTTACCGGTAACGGCTCCAGGGCACTTCTCTCTAGCAGACACACAGAACATTGGAATGTTAGATATCCAGCTTTCTAGGGAGAGTTCTCAGCAGCTTAGTGTGCTCGAGTCCCAGACCTAGGAACCAGTGAAAGGCTCCTTTCCTCCAACCCCAGCAAGGGGCCTCAGGTGAATACTGCACTAGTGCCATATATAGCCATAGATTGGACTCTTCACAAGTAAACAAGCATGCTTTGGACAGGATACTGGTACCCAGTGCTTACCAGTGTGTGAAGGGCTACTCTTGGGGCAGCATTTCAGCATGATGCATACAACTTCGGGATTAGTTGCTTCCAACAACATGACAACGACAGCCTTGCCATAGGAGTCCACAAAGTCCTTACACTGCCCTAAGACACCATGAGGTAGCATGTAGCAGACCTTCTCCATGTCATGGACTATTTGCTCCTGGAAAACAAAACCAGCAGGTGTCAGGAGAAGAGAGACTAAATCTATGCAATCTATCCTCGATAGTACCTCAGTATGGGGCAGATAGATCTCAATCTTCTGTGCTATTCTTCCCTCTGCTGCAGACAAATGTTTTACTGTGTTGAGTCACCCACTAACCCTAAAAAGTGTCTAAGCCAAGGCCTGTCCTGCACCAAGCCTTGGGAGGAGCTTGCAAGCAGCATTTAGCCATTTACAGAATTCCCGCTCCCCCTAACAACCCCTAAACGACGGAAATGAGAATACAGGGCACTATTAGGGCTATTGCCAGGGCTACATACCAACTTTCTTGCACCTAGGGTGACCAGATGTCCCGATTTTATAGGGACAGTCCCGATTTTGGGGTCTTTTTCTTATATAGGCTCCTATTACCCCCACCCCCATCCCGATTTTTCACATTTGCTGTCTGATCACCCTATTTGCACCCCCATAGCAGCAGCAGGACATGTTCCAAGCTGGGAGCTGCACTCGTAAATAGCCTATGCAAGCTCTGCATCACTGAACAAAAGGCCACATACCTCTGTCATGTTGTTGTTCAGCAGGCTCTCTGCTGCCTTTACCGCAATCTCACACATACTGCACAGGGGAGCTTTATTTTCTGGTCCCAGGTTTTCCTGCTTATTACAGCACAACAGAACATTCATGTAAAACAATGATCATATGGGGTGGGGGATATCGTCATTTCTAGAGAACCCTATTGCTTTCATCCCTATTAAATTCTGTATGGTGTGTTCCCCAGTGATCTGAAAGACACTGCTTTTGCACTGAAATCTCTCAAATGATAAATTGGAGAATTGGTCTTGCATCAACAGGATGAAATTCAATACAGACAAGTGTAAAGTACTACACCTAGGAGGGAAAAATCAAATGTACAACTACAAAATGGGGAACAACTGGGTAGGTGGTACAGCTGAAACGGATCTGGGGGTGACAGTTGATCACAAACTGAATATGATTCAACAACGTGATGCAGTTGTGAAAAAGGCTAATAGCACACTGGGGTGTGTTAATAGGAGTGTCATCTGTAAGACATGGGAGGTAATTGTCCCACTCTGCTCAGCACTAGTGAGCTCTCAGGGGGAGTACCGTGTCCAGTTTTGGACACCACAGTTTAGGAAAGATGGGGACAAATACGTCAGAATCCAGAGGAGAGCAACAAAAATGATAAAAGCTTTAGAAAACCTGTTCTATGAGGAAAGGTTAAAAAAACTGGGTACATTTAATCTAGAGATGAGAAGGCTCAGGAGACGTGATAACAGTCTTCAATTATGGCTGTGACAAAGAGGACTGTGATCAATTGTTCTCCATGTCCACTGAGGGTAGAACAAGAAGTAATGGGCTTAATCTGCAGCAAGGGAGATTTAGGTTAGATATTAGGGAAAACTTTCTAGCTATAAGGATAGTTAAGTACAGGAAGAGTCTTCCAAGCGAGGTTCTGGAATCTCCGTCATTGGGATGTCAGGGATGTTTTAAGTTACTTGGCCCTGCCTCAGTGCAGGGAGCTGGGCCAGATGACTTCTCAAGGTTCCTTCCAGCCCTACTTTTCTATGATTCTAAAATATAAGCTGATCTGACTGAGGTATGTGCGTGTGAACACTGTACATTTACAAAAAGGTGCTTCTGGGGTTCTGACAACTGCAAACTCGGACTAAACTTCAACCTTACCAGAGATTAGCCCTCACTAAGGGCTAGTTCCTCTGATGATGGTGTAGAAGTGTATATCACAGATAACGTTTGAAGCAACTGAAAGTGATGTCCTGACTAGAGCTGGGGAAGGATGTGGGGGGGAGGGGTTAAGTGAAAGCATTTTGGCAAAACAAATCAAAGATCAAAATTTGTAAAATTTGAAAGTTTTGATCAGTTCTAATCCTGACCAGGCCCTAGTTCTGTATTGCATTTCATACCACCTCTACAAAGAGAAGCTGTTTCGCAATCTAACCCCAGAACAGTGAGATCTGTACTTTATACCAGAGATTCAGGCTGTTCAGTACACATGGAAGTCTGTATTTATTGCCTGACTTTGACCCTTCCTCCAGTTTAGTGCTTCTCAAACTTTTGTATTGGTTATAAATGCTGGAGTTAAAGCAGGGTTTGGGGGAGGAGGCTGACAGATCGTGACCCCCCCACATAATAACCTCGCAACCGCCTGAGGGGTCACGCCCCCCCAGCTTGAGAACCCCTGCTCCAGCTCATGTGGGTAATACGCAAGCCTTGCTCTTTCTTCAGCAAAACAGTAGAGGGCGCTAAAGACTCATTTTACCTCCACAAGCGCCTTCATATTGGACATATGCATCACTTTAGCTGGTCCCAGAGACTGGAGGGGCACAGATTTCAGGGAAGGACAGAATCCAGCTCTGCCACAAATATCCTTCGGTTGCTGGAGAGAGAGATACACAAATCAAGTAAGGACAAGCTCTATCCGGTTATACCGGCTCTATGAAGAATTCCCTAAAGAGGGAGGAGACAACCCAAATAAAGGTTTCAATACACCTGGCAACTGTAGTTTCTATACACTCTTGGAGGAAATGATGGTTGAAGGTAGGTTACCAGGCCAACAGTCTGATCAGATTTCCTTTGTAATATACTGTCAAGATGACACTAGATCTGTAGCTAGTCTGGATTTAAGGCTAGCTCTTAGGTACTATGTGCAGCTTTGCAAATGTCTGTTTTCAGTACCCCACATCAGTGCACCAGCAGAGCTATGTAGTTCCTGCTGCATCCTCCTGATTAATACCTTATTTCTCAAAGTATAAGACATCCTTGTCATAGAGAAGGTTGTGCAACCCTCAGATAAATAATAGACAAGTTATCCAGACTCCATAGACTGTGCATAGAGAGAAGCAATACCTCCAAGATGTAGCCAAATTTCTGACTACATGGCCAAGCACGGTCTTTCCCTGGTTCACACACTGGGATAAGCATTTCAAGAATTAATTCTGCAGCAGCAGCACCATGTCCCTGCAACACGATCCCATGCTGCACCATGACAGACATCCTGGTTTTGCCCCAGTGTAACCCCATTAAGTTCCATGGCGTTATTCTTCATTTACTCTTTGTAAGTGAGAGCAGAACAAGCCCAAGGGCTCCCAGGAAATTACTAGTTATAAAACAAAGGCACTGGGAAAGCTGGAACCTAAAGGCCCCATTTTTAATTCTCAATTCAGACTCTCACGCTACCCATATTATTGCTCTTAGCCATAAAGGTTACCCTAGAGGAGAGCCGGTCAAAGTTTTCAAACATGAAAGTGAAACAAAAATGTCAACTCCAAACCAAACAAAAAATCATGTTTCATTTCAAATATTTTTCACTGAAAAGTCAAAGTGGAACTGTTTTAGCAAAACATTTCAGTTTCAGCAAAACAGCACTTTTCATCCAAAAAATAATAATAATAAAGAATCAGAAAATTTCAATCAGCTATAGTTTGGGCCCTTCTTAACTTCAGAGTTAAAGCAAGGAACTGATTGGAGCCAGCAGGGAGATTACCCTATGTCCTCACCTTTATCATATAGGAAGGCCTTCACACCTGCTTCCAAGCTCGCCTCCTCATCATTAGACTGAAATCTTAACTGACATCTGGGCTGGGAGCGGGAGCAGGCGCTGGGAGCAGGAACCATGACCTACTCATAGGAGATCTCTCCCTAACCCTCCAAACATCCCTTGTATCCGTCAAACCTGACTGCAGCCACACCACACCTACAACTAATTAGCAAGAGTTGAACTACACTTAGGAAGGAAAATCAAATGCACAATTACAAAATGGGGAATAACTGGCTAGGTGGTCGTACTGCTGGAGAGGATCCCAGGGTTATAGTGGATCATAAATTAAATGAGAGTCAACAACATGATACAGTTGCGAAAAAGGCTAATATCATTCTGGGGTGTATTAACTGGAGTGTTCTATGTAAGACACAGGAGGTAACTGTCCTCCTCTACTCAGCACTGCTGAGGCCTCATCTGGAGTACTGTGTCCTATTCTTGGTGCCACACTTTCGGAAAGATGTGGACAAGTTGGTGAGAGTCCAGAGGAGAGCAACAAAACTGATAAAAGGTTTAGAAAACCTGACATGTGAGGAAAGGTTAAAAAACTGGGCATGTTTAGTTTTGAGAAAAGAAGACAGAGGGGGACAAATATGTTAAGGGGTGTTACAAACAGGATGGGGATCAATTGTTCTCCATGTCCGCTGAAGGTAGGACAAGAAGTAATGGGCTTATTTTGTAGCAAGAGCAATTTAGGTTAGATATTAGGAAAAAACTGTCTAACTATAAGGGAGGTTGTGGAATCCCCGTCATTGGAGGGTTTTAGAATAGGTTGGGCAAACCCCTGTCAGGGATGGTCTAGGTTTATTTGGTCCTGCCTCAGCACAGGGGGCTGGACTTCATGACTTCTCAAGGTCCCTTCCAATCCTACATTTCTATTAATCTTTTAGATGAAAAGCAAAAGAAATGCACCACTGCAGGTAAGTTTAACACATAACTTATAGTTCTGCTGGTGAAGAAGCAGGGTTGTTGAAAGACAAGATGAAACAACAATTAGAATTCAGAAGAAATAAATCAAGCAGTCAAAATATGTATAGAAATTCCACAAATAAAATGAACCTGCTAAGGAAGCCACCTCTCCCCACCAGTCCACCTGGATCCCAGTCATCTTTATTAGAAACGTAAAGCAACGGTTTCATTGGCATTGTCCATTCCAGACTAGCTCCCTGCATGCGAACAGCCAATTTTCATGCAACTAAAACAGGGACATCCCTCAGTCAGAAGTTGAGCACTGCCAAGGGCAAACCCAAGATTTTCAGTGTGTTTTTTTCCTCACCTAAAATATTACCCCCAAGTACTAGTTACAATCCACATTTAATTGGACCAAATATATAAATATTTGAATGTTCTTGTTACTATATAAAATAATGTCTCCACATCCCCAGATGGCACTGAAAGAACAAATCCCAAACAGGACCTCATAACATCCCTTTGAATTTGAAATCTGGATTATTCTTTTAAAAAAAGATTCTTTACTTTAAAGGCAGCATTGCTGTCTAGCAATTAGAGCTGGAATGAAAGTCAAAGTGGGGTTCTGTTCCCCACTGACTCAAAGTGACACTGGGCAAGTCAATCACCATGCCTCAGTTTCCTCAACTCTACAATGGGTATAATAATGCTTATCCATCTTTCTAGAGTGCTTTGAGATCTTGGGTGAAAAGTGCTGTGTAAGTGCAAAGTGCTACTTTGAACAATGATTTTCATCTCGCAGCAGACGGCAGGGCCTCACCATCACTGCCATGATGTGTTTCTCCTCTTTTCTCCATAACTTTCAATCCAACCCACACCACCCACATTCAGATTTCAGCTGCCTCAAAGCCTCCAAGGCTGTGAAGTATTTTTGGGGATGTGCCACAGCAGCTCCATTTATCATTTGTTCCATTGGGAGGGACTTACTCAGGTACATGTGTAAAACTCTCTGTTTGCCTAGAGAGCTGAAAGTGTGTAAAATATAGGAGATGAAGTCTACAGAGTGGGAAATTTAAAAGCCACACTAGATGTAACTCTGACAACACAAGAAGGTGCATTCTGCACCCAGAGTGAGAGAGCTACCTAGAATTGAGACCGTGGCAAAACTAGACTTTTTTTTTTTTTTAATAAAGTCTGCTAAATAAAAAAACTTCAGCTGTTATTCTTTCCAAAATCCACAAGCATTCCTGCATGGCCTAAAAGGATCCGTAGGACATTTACCATGTAGTTTTCACACTGCCTTAGGATTCCTCAAGGTTCATTCTGAAGGCTTAAAGGTAATAAGGTAACTTTTTCCAGAATGAGCTCTGATGAAGAACCAGCACCAAGAATAGAAAAGATCTAAAGAAGATGTATTTAACATCATATTCAGCTTACCATGTGCATCATAAACTGGATGGCAAACTCTGAGTATTCAAAAATATAGCTCTTGCACTGTGGGAGAGACAGACATCCCAGTAAATACCAACAAACCATTCTTGCCCACATCACTGTTAATGCCACATTAGGAAGGAGATTACATGTGTGTGGGAAAATTCAAAACAATGGTTCCCACAGAAGCTAGCATGACCTCAAGGCGCATTTTGAATTTGAATGGTATTTTGAATTATTCTATGTGTTACCTATCAAACCTTATCAGAAGTGTGCAGTGTGAAAGAGACACAGTCACAGGGCAGGGGGAGGGAGCAGAAATGAAGTGCCGAACTTCTGCATGTAATGTTACATTTTTGGGCCTAGATTCTGAAAGAATCCCTAGCGTTACCTCACCTGGCTCTGGAATTAATTGCCACTCCCCTCTAAAATGTATCCAGCATTTTAGATGCTTTCCATGTAGAGCAATGACATGGGGGGAGGGATAGCTCAGTGGTTTGAACATTGACCTACTAAACCCACGGTTGTAAGTTCAATCCTTGAGGGGGCCATTTAGGGAACTGGGGTAAAAGTCTGTCTGGGGATTGGTCCTGCATTGAGCAGGGGGTTGGACTAGATGACCTCCTGAGGTCCCTTCCAACCCTGATATTCTAATGATGATATTTTAGGAGTGGGGAGGGAGAAGGAAGAGGAAACTAAGACCTTTCAGAGCCTATGGGAGTCAGGTGACCAATTCTGACAGTGTTGACCTCTTACCAAGGACCAAAGGAGTTGGGCACTAGTTCCCTCAGATGCCTTTGAAGATCCCAGCCTTAACCATTTAGAACTGATAAGTTGGCTCAGTAAATAAAATGGTATCATGTTACCTACACGCTCAACAGTATTATTATTTATTTGTATTTCAGTAGCACCTTGTGCAAGGCACTGTCCTCACACACGAAGACACAGCCTCTATCCCAGAGAGCCCCAATCTATGAACATAAGCAAGCAAGCAGGATGGTGGAGAGGGATAACACACAGTCAGTGTATACACAATTTCTTTAAAACCAATCATTTTCGTCTCTCCCCAGTTCGCCCTCAGCCTAGCTAATGTTAATTGGTTAACTTCTTGTCGGGGTCTCGGCAGAAGTGGGTGGAGGAAGGAATTGAAGGAGGAGAGGACAGAGGCCTTACAGACGTTTCATCAAGGACATTGTTCAGCATTTTCATTAAGGACAAATCCAGCCACAAACGTTCTGTCCACATGGAAGAGCAGGAAGGGAATGGATGCAGACTGTAAAGAAAGCAGAGCCGGCTCCAGGCACCAGCTTGCCAAGCAGGTGCTTGGGGCGGCCACTCTGGAGAGGGGCGGCACGTCCAGCTATTCGGCGGCAATTCGGCGGACGGTCCCTCACTCCCGCTCGGAGCGAAGGACCTCCCACCGAATTGCTGCGGCGGGTGGCGGGCGGGGTTTTTTTTTTTTTTTTTTTTTTTGGCGCCGCTTGAGGCAGCAAAAACCCTGGAGCCGGCTCTGGAAGAAAGACTCCAGAGCAGAGCACTTATGGCGTCTACCAAGCAAACAGCTGCTCAGTACCACCCTGGCCACCACTGGAGGCAGTTCAATTATCTTAGTGAAATCAAAATTCTGTTACCCCAGCAGCCATGTTAGGTCCCAAGTGTTCACACAGTTGCTTGGCAGTAGCAACTAAGGACTCAGTGAAGAAAGGCCCGGTTCTCGCTTTCTCCTGAATGTCAGCAAGCAGCTGAACACAGTCTCCACACAAGTGTCCTCCCTCCTGATGAAAGATAAGGGGAGAGCCAAACATTAAAACACATGGCCATGCACTAGTGGCGCTGCTATGTCCTCACTACTAACAGAGGAAGCATTCACTGCAGTTTTGTTATCAACGCTCTTTATAACATAGCTAATTTTCACAGCACTACAAGGAGGCGGGTATTATCCCATTTGACAAGTGATGAAAGGCAGAGAGGTTAAGTCATTTGTCCAGGAAACAGAGAGAGGCCATGTCAGAGCATTAAGGCTGTGTCTACACTGCCACTTTCAGCGCTAAAACTTTAGTCGTTCAGAGGTGTGAAAAAACACACCCCTAAGCGACAAATGAAAAGCGCCGGTATAGACACTGCTTTATCGTCAGGAGCCATGCTCCTGGCAATAAAGCTACCATCCCTCGCTTGGGGTGGTTATTTTTTTTTATCGCCGGGAGAGCTCTGACTACACTGGAAAGCGTGACTACACTGCCCACATCACAGCACTGCCATGGCCACGCTGTAACGTGGCAGTGTAGACATACCCTAAAACTCAGCATTCCTACCTTCCACTCCTATGCTCAACCCATGTTTCTCTCCAAGGAACAGCCCCCTCAGAAGACTCAGGTAAGACACAGACTCTTCTCCCAGGCTTCCCTCCCGTCCAATTTAAATTCCACTGCTGCCTTGCCTGGGCACATACGGGGCATGCCAGCTGAGCCCTGACATTCCTGATTTTAACAAGCTTGCTGACTTCCATCTAGCATTCTGTGCACAGGGTGGAATCTTACCTTTCACATGCTGTCTGCGTATTGCCCCTCACCCCAGTGGGAGCACTGAGAATTAGTGTAGCCCACGAAAGCTTATGCTCTAATAAATTTGTTAGTCTCTAAGGTGCCACAAGTACTCCTGTTCTTTTTGCGGATACAGACTAACACGGCTGCTACTCTGATACCTGACTAGATACTCTCATTTTTAGATAGCACAAATGATCATAACACTTGAGTGAATAGAATCATAAAAAATTGAGGTATGTGCAACACAAAAGAGCTAGTAAAAGGTACTGTGTAATTATACACTGGGAGGGAATAAGAGAGTCAGAGACAGAAAGCAGGGTACAAGTTCTAGGAGTGGAGGAAGAAGAGTAAAAAAAACATTAGCATAAGCCAGGAATGGTCCCATATCTAATCAAACTGGCCCTTGTTACTTGCTAATCGGTACATTGTTACTGTTTAACATTGATATGGTGGCAGCATGTAGAAACCAACCATTGTGCTAAGCCCTGTATAAACATATAGTAAATGACAATCCCTGCCCAAAAGAACATTACTCAAACAATCCAAATTATTGTATGACCAGCAATGTTGCTAATTTTCTCTATTATTGACACCACCTTAGCTGTTGATTTTATTTATTTTTAAATACCCACTAACGTGCATTTTAAAGTCTGTTTGTGGACAGTCACATACTCTACCACTGGCCACTGCAAAGGGAAGGGAAGAGACCCCATTAATTCAAAGGGCTGCCGTTCATTCTAAACCAAAATTGGAACAGTATTTCAGCCAGCGTCAATCAGTGTGGCTCCATTGCCTTCAGTGAGGCTATGCCAATGTACAGCAGCTCAGGAACTGGCCCAATATGTTTCTGAAGTCCAATTGGCAACTTGCAACCTAAGTGGGCTTCCTGCTCTCTTGCATTCTAAAGCCATGTGTTTGTGCTCCCAAGTGTAATCAGTTTGGTATGTGTTATTGAGAAGCATTGTGACACTGAAACAGAACACAGCATGCTTCCTTTGTGTGCAGCTGATTAACTGAGGAAGCTAATCTGTCCATATTGCATCCTCACCAAGGCCTCTTGCTGGGTTTTGTCCTGGGGGTAAAGGAGAAGAGGGACATTAGCAAGGAAGGGAGACACCATTTCAGGGAAGTCCATTACAGGTATCTCATTGGACTGCAGTGGCTTCTGAATCTTCAGAGTGTCCTCATGAGTCTCCATGGATTTGCACAAGGTGATGGCACGGCATACTACGTCAGGGTTGGACTAAAAAGAACAAAGGAAGGCCAAGTCATTGATCAGTCCTAATCAAAGTTAGCCTTGCACCTTGGGGGAGGAGACAGATACAAATAAAAAGCAGCACCCATCCCTGCTACTTAGTCAGAGCAGCAAAAATCTAAGTGAACAAAGCAACAGTTGCTAAGATACCCAGCAAGGAAATTGTTTACAGAATGGAAAGGTTTATTTTCCCCTAGCAATCCTCACCCCCCACTTGTGTACACCGGAACCTCTTTCATTATTCCATTGTAGTCCTGGTGCAATCCTATACAGCCCCCTGGCTTTCTTCTGTATAAAAAGTGACAACTAGAAGATATGCAGCCAGCCAAGCTAAGTGCTTTAAAGATGAACGGAAATGAAATTTTAAACACCATACAATGGGAAAAGGCTGGTGCAGGCATCAAATTGTTGTGCAGAAATAAACACTGGAGAAGAGGGAAAATTAAGTTAAAGACTTTTCACCACTAGACCCTGAGTCAGGACATCTGGTCTCTGTGTTGCTCTTGCAGTGGGCTGATAGAAATATGGCAAGTATTTTCTATGAAAAATTTTTAATCAAAAAATTGATTTCATCTGAAATTTTACTAAATTTTCTGGTGGCTTTTTTTTAACTAAACAAAATTGAATTATTTTGTTTCAGGGGGTTTTGTTTTGGGCTTTTTGTGGTGGGGCAGGCTGGAAAATAAAAAAAAGAAAATTTTCAAATTGAAATTAAAGTAAATGAACATTTTTGTTTCACTGGAGAAAAAAAACTAAAGATGTCAAAGGAATCAGAAATGTCCATTTCCTACAAAAGGCCATTTTTCATCACAAAACTTTTTGACCAGCTGTAATGGTAAGTGACCTCACTAACACATAAAGGAAACCTGCAAAGAGGGAAAGGAGGCATTTGTGCCCCTTTTTGCTTCATTATGATGTATGAAGAGGCCTGGGAAGTTTGTTTTTTTTAATATTAGAAATGCTGGTGTTGTCTACCCTGGAAGTCTCCATGGTAGCTGGAGAACATAGTGACATCACAAGTACCGAGGACATGAAACCTGACTAACTGAGAGGGGGAGTTTCTTCAGACTGTTAAAAAACTTAAATGACTAAGAAGCACTTTGAGAAGGAAGTTTGGAAAATTCAACACCCCTCTTACCCTCCAGCTAAGATCCAAGAAAGTTCTACATCTACATTCCTGAGACCTCCAACATGACTCTGCAAAATCAGAGAAGGCCTTGACTCTCCTGATATTTCTAGTGTTAAAAACAAGCAGAAGTTTTTTGTTTTGTAAAAACCTTTTCAGAACCTCTGTATACATCTTAAGAAGCCAAAAATGGAGCAAATGTATGTGACCTTTGGAGGTCACTTTTAAGGCTCCATTCCTTAAGTAATTTAGGTTTTAATGGTGTCATCAATTGCTGCAGGTCAAATAGGATCCTGAATTCAAATCTTAGCAGGTAAGTGAAGAATTTGTTTATCAGCTATCTAAAGTTTTTGGTTTTTTATTACAGAAATTAATGTATTGGACTGGAATCTGCTTATATGCTCTCTCAGAAGCCTATTACCGTATTATTTATTATTATTGTCCTAAAAGGGACAAAAAATGCAGAAAGTCAACCTAGTAGTTTTACACCATAAATCTGTACCATTGTTTTTCCCCCAACCAATTACCAATACTTGTTTGCTCAGCTCTACGATCATTATCATGCCAGTATCCACCATCTTCTTGCACTTGACTGACCAGTCCTGGAAAGGAAGGTACTGGCATGACTTTTCCAAGAAAGCACGGATCCTTTCCTAGGAGACAAGAGAAGAGGGGAGTGTTATGGGCTGTGTTCACATACACCATGGCAAAAAGCTGTGTATGTTCTTCATACACATTCTTAGGAGAGACTATGGAAAATCTGGGCAAATTCTTAAACTCCACCCTGGGGGAAGACAGACTTTCAGCAGAACTGGAGCATGGATGGATGAAATATGTTTATTTCTCCAGTCTCAAATTTAAAAACAGACAATCCCAGATCTTCTGGAGGATGAAAGGATGCCAGAGTTGGCACCTACTACGCTGTGGTAAGAGGAAGATTTCTTGCAAGACCTGTCACTATAAGAAAGAATTCCTATAGGTTTAAAGGCTTCATATGAAGCAAGCTCTCTAGCTTATAAAATACAACCCAGGAGATCCACTATCTGTTCTCTTTGTTTCATAGACACCCAAATTCCAACTAGAGATAAGAAAGGAGGCTAAAAAAACCTGACTACATGGATGGACTGCTGACCAGATGGAATGGCACTTGCATCAAAGGGAAAGAGGAGAGAGTGACACATAGCTGCTCCAAAATCCCCTTGCCACATCACACACCAGATCTTTGTGGCTTCTTCAGAGACTGCACGGTAACCCACCATCCTACCCAAAGCTAAATGAGTGCTCCAAGAGGATAAGGGAAGAAAGCACAAACATTCAAACAACAGTGTTTTACAGCAAGTGAGTGGCATATCAGGGGTAAGTAAGACCTCTAAATTCCCAATGGGAGAGACAGGGAAAGGGACCCCCTTTGCTAGAGATGCTGAAGCCCAAGCCCCCTCCCTGTATCCCATGATTCTCACCTTACACCAATTCCCTTTTTAGGCACCTTTCCTCTGCAGTGTAACCATTTGCACTGCCAGAGACAGCACAGTGTAAAGGGGCCTTTACGTACATGACACTCTTGACCAACGTCTGCATGGAAATTCCTGACTAGCAGGTAGGTAATAATAGGGTTAATCTACTTCCAACCCCCAAGTCATTCTCAGGTTTTGTGACCATCCTGATCATACACTGGACAGAAGATCTTACAGTTGCTTTCCTTTTCCTCCCTCTGTGAAACTCAGGTAACAAAAGCCACTCATGATATTCTTCCCCTTCCTTGCCCCTCCCTGGGTCACCACTATAGTTGTAAAGGCATCTAATGCCCAAAGCCAAAAAGGTTGCTGGGTTCTTCAAGCTACTTACATCTGTGTGATTGTCCTGCAAGATCTTCCCAAGCATTGATACCACCATTTTACACATATGGCAAGGGATACTTTTCTGGGGATAGAAAAGAGAAAAGAGTTACTTGAGAGGGACCTGCACGTTGGTATATAAATGAAAATTTTCCTTTCCCTTTCTTGTCTCTGTATCATATAGTGAAGGAGAAAGCTAGCTTCACATAAGCCCAAGTTTCAACCTCTGCTCCCCCAATTTCTAAAAAAAAAAACCTATTCCCCTGAAATCTCACATGCCCCATCTCATCCCAGGATAGAATTTTTCTGGGAAGGTTTGTTATGTAGGTTTTTGAGGAGAGGGGGCAGAAAAGGAGTTTTAAAGCTACCATGCTTTCAAAAATTCCTGTTATTTAATCCAAGAAAGTTTTCTTAACATCTTTTTGTCCTCCCATCTCCAAACTCATGTTTACTTTGCCTGTTAGTGGGGTCTTTGGAGTAGGGGTCCAGTTGGGGGAATGACAAGAACTGATTTTATCTCCATACAGAGATGAATGTTATACAACATGAACATTTATAAATATAAAACCCTTTACAGTACACTGACCTGCTGCTGGCAGAGGTGGAAAGGCATAGGTGGGTATGGTGAGAGGTGTAAATAAGAAGGGGCAGGAGATTGGGTGGGGTAAAGAGATGGAGGCACAGAGAGGAGAGATTGGGGACTGGAGATAGAAGGGGTGGCACGTGGAGCCATGCTTCTCGGTCTCAGATGGGGTGTGGGCAGGGAAGAGGAGCTTCATGGAGGGGGGACAGAAGACTGAAAGGGGGGAAATACAAGGGGGTATAAGGTACCTGGTGATGGGGCTAGGAGAGGGAGCATGAAACAGAGGCAGAAAACAAGTGGCATGGAGTGGGCCTAGGTGACTGCAGGAGACAGAAAGATGGAGTCTAACCCCGTTAAACACTTTGAATTCCTAGACATTTTAGATATAGAAAACTTCAAGCACTTAAGTTTTACAGAATGGATAACAGACTCCCCATCTCATCTGCCATCCCCATGCCCCCAGCTTTCTACCACTCCCAGACCCCACCCAGGTGTCACCTCCCCCCCGCCCCCCCACACACATGACTTGCCTGGACTAGCTAACACCTGCAAGGGGGAGCCCAGCTCTGATGGGCCTTGTGAAATCTGTCAGAACAGGGATCCTGCCTGCAGACTTTATACACCAACCTAGCTTGCACTTCTGGCACTAATACAAAAACCCCCAACAACCCACAGAGAAACTCTGAATCAAAAAGGCTCATTATTTAAAAAGAGCACAGGACAAAAGCGCACCTCAAAAGAAGCATGCTAACCCTCCAAAACGGTATCAGACTTCCTTTACTAAAGTCCTACACCTTCACAAAATACAGCCCAATATGTTAACAAGTCTAGCAATGACCAGGTAAGGCCTCCAGCCAGCGCTAACTGCTTCTATGGGAGAGTTTGGGGGTTTTAGTGCATTTCCCATTTAGGAAGGAGGTGGAAAAGAAACTGTCTCTTGGCCTGACTGACTGGTGTGCAACGTGACATTCAGCATGGAAAGAGGAAGGAGGGAATTAAACACAAGGTTGGGATGAGTCATAAGGTTATAGAAAAGCAGATTTTCCCCACACCGGGCTGAGGGAAGAGAACAACTGGTGTGGGAGGGTCATCACTCTTTGCAAACCAGTTTTTATAGTTCAAAGTGACCTTTACACTTGTTGCCTGTTTCCCCACGCTTAGCCAGATGGTGTCCCCCTTCTCTTTAACCAGATGACATACACAGGGCCCAATTCCCAATTACACCAAGGCCTCTTGACACTACTCTAGCGGCAGAAAGAGACTTTAAAGGAGCCATGAGACTGACAGACAGGGGGTCCCCACTGACATAGAACTGGTCTAACGACTCTTTGCCAGCCCTGCTCCCAGCCCCCAGTATAGGGGAACTTTGGGGGCATGTCAGTGCAGGCCAGGGACATGACTGGAGTGTACTGCTTTTCAGCTAAACTTTGGGAGGCAGAGAAAAGGAGCCATGGGAAGCAGAGTGTAACTTAGAGCAGCCCCAAGGCTAACTCTAGCTTACACCAGAGACCGAGCAGTGCCCTGAACATCCCCACAATATGGAGGACATATAGGTAGCTTAAAAGACACCTTAACCATCCACCCTGTTCCTGCCCCAAGTGCAAGGATGGGGCAACTGAGAATCAGACCCTCACTCATTATGTGCACAGAAGTCAATGCATTTTATTGACCATAGCAAGTTGCAGTTTTTCCAGTACACACAGTGATAATTGTGTAGTTAGAGAGATCTAGGCTAGTCCAACAATTATCTTCAGTTTCTACAGAAAAGTTCCATACATGGGAACTCTTGGGAAAATGCATAGGCATCTGTACATACTCACAAGCTTTTTATTTTTATTGGAAGGCCTGTAAATTCTCCAGCATAAGTTTTACAGTGGCCTAATGTGACCTCTGGAATTATGCATTGTTTCGAACAGGTGCGAGAGTTACATGTTCATTCCTATAAACGTCAAAGAAATAGGGCTGTCTGTTAGATTGGTGGCAGCCTGTCGTAGAAAGGGTATGAACCATGCAGAGCAAAGGGACTGAAAGAGAGAAGTCAGCCAGTCCCTCTCTCCCTTTAGTTCATTCACATTGTGCAGTCCTATTGGTATCAAAGAAAGAAGTGATACAAAATTTTTGGAGGACACAAACAGTTACAGAAAAGTGCAATTCAGATGTCAGCTCATTCCTGTAAGTAGGGCCTGAACTTTACAGAGCTGCACGTGGGAATACAAGGGATCTGGCAGAAGAGAACAAGCCTGTTCAGACTACACACTCACCACAGGAAGCTTGTTCCAAACAGTCTGCTGGCAGTGCTCCACAGCCCCACACCGCAAAGCCGTCTGCAAATCCTGACACCAGTTCTCAGGCCCCTCTGTGCACTCTTTCTGCCAGGAGAGGGGGCTCGCCACAGCTGCCAATGAGAGAAAGAGTCCATTTTCAAACTGCACAATTCGGAGGATATTCAACCTTTGAAGAAGAGTTACCACACATTGTCCCATATGGAGGCCTTGCCCATATGTCTCCATTCTAAGACATTTGTATTACATTTTATCCTGAGGTGTTAGACAGCAGTGTAGGCCAATTCAGCATGTCTTATGTAGGCCGTCCCACGTAGCTCTGTAGGTCCTATTAAGCCCCCAGCCTCAAACACTGATTTGTTTCCTTCTCCAATTGCTAGATTAAATTATACCTCCAGCACACAAGAAACCCCTGGTTCTAATACGCTAAAAACCATGTAAGAGTCAACCCAAAAGAATTTGGAGGCATCAACGAGATAAATTAGGTGAACTTTAAGAAGAGGATTCCAGAAACTTAAGCCCCAAAATTCCTCCATTAGATCTCAGTCTCCCAAGACTCCCTGCCACTGCCTTCCTTCACACAAAGGATGCCTTGAAAAGGAAGAATATTAAAGACTTTTCACTATTATTGAAGGGCTAACATTCCTGGCTGGTATGCATTTCAACACTGAACTAGCTAACTAGAGTACTAGTACTAGAGTAACTTCAGGGAAGTTTCCCTGATATTTTCCTGTGCAATGTATCATTTTCTCATAAGGAGGGAATGAAACCAATGCAGGCTAGTTCATTTCAGGACAAAGAGTGCACATTGCATGTGGATAGCATCTGAACAGCAGCATGCGAAACTCAGCCATTGTATAAAAGATACAAAGTTGAGCACTTGCCTTCAGAAACTGCTCTTTAACCTCTTTAGGGTTTATCCAAAGCCCATTAGCAACCAAACCCTACCAGACAAGACTTCCACTCCCTCAGGCTGACTTGAAATCAAGTTTTGCAGTGGGAAGCAGTTCAGGACTGTGGATAAGCACGTTAGCAGGAAGTTTCACATAAGTGATGAGCAATGAAACTGTGAAAAAAATTCATTTAAATAGGCATCTTTAAGCTTCAGGGTGATCATCCTCTCGGAGCTCTTGGTTCAGACTTCCTGCAGATTCAGGAAGACATAACCAGAACAAAGGCCTCATTTACTGTTGTAAGATGTTTCCCCTGTACACAGAACATTAAACTCTGAGTCCAACTGGCTAAGGAAAACCCACACTTTGATGCCTCAAACCTACTTCTTACCTTCCCTTCTAGTTGAAAAACCCACCTCCTCTCACTCACAATTAGCACCTTAATGTGTTATTCACAAAAGGCTAGTGAGGAATGTTTATTAACAATTGGCCCCTGGGCCCTTTAGGGTGTCTCTCATTAAGTCCGTTGAAGAATTACCAACCCAGTTTTAACACAAATACCAAAAGTGTGTGCCAAATGCTGTGGTGAGATCTCTGGGTCCTACGCACTCTGCTGCAGCACATTGGAAATTCTATTAAAGTTTCATTTTAAAAATGAGTTTTTTAATGAATTACATAAATAATGAGATCCAGGCCACGCTCCCGGAGTTATTCATTTGATTGCATCCGGCATACTTTATGCTCTCCAGACATTTTTGTATTGGCAACCTATAACTGCATTACAGAAGTTGTTGGGGAGAGACAGGAGATTTTTGCAGCTAGGTAGAGGACAGAACAGTTGGAGCTTTTTGCAGCCAAGATGCGGTGGGAAGCAGTTCAGGACAGTGGAATAAGCATGTGAGCTGGAAGTTTCGGATAAGTGATCAGCAGTGAAACCGTGAACAATTTTTCATTTAAATAGTCGCCTTTAAGCTTCGGGGTGATCACCTTCTCAGAGCTCTTGGTTCAGACTTTCTGCTCACACAGGAAGACATCACTGCATCCAGTTTTGCAAATCTTTACATTAATCTCACTGTGCCTCAGGTCCCAATCTGTAAAATGAGAATAATAACTCCTAGCTCGCAGGAGTGTTGTGAAGATAAATCCATTAATGTTTATAAAGTATTCGTATACAATGGTGATCAAACACCACAGAAAAGCCCATGAAGAAATTAGTAATTACATATTCAGTGTATACTGTGGATGGTGTCCAGTAAGTAACACATGGGGCCATTCATTGAATGAGGATAAAAGAAAATATTGAACTACCTCATTCTCTGAGCACTGAATGAGGCAGGGCTCCTGTAGATAAAAATACTATATGATCATGAAGACTCTTATAATGCATTACGGAAGGGGGCAGAACTAAGGTTATGTAGGCAACCACAAATCTGGCAATTCCTAACTTGAGTGATTGCCTTTCCAACCTTAAAAGTGTTTTTTTAATATACTTTATTTGTATGGAACATGTGCATAGAACCATGTAAATGCTCAGTAGATGGGCTGTACTAAGTCGGTAGCATAGGCTTTGATCTAGAAGGCTCCTGCCAAAGGCAAAGAACAGGAACTGGAAAATCAGAAGTTACAGGAAATTGGGAAATTTAAGACTCTCCCATACTCCAAGGAGAGGAGGTGATGGAGGACAGAAGACACCTCCCATCCTGCCTCTTGGCTCTTCTGTGGTGGTATTATAAATAATTGTCAAATAAACTACTCAGTTAGCTTGATCCTCCTCTTAGTCACATCTTGTTTTCCCTGGCCCTCTCAACATTCAGGACCTGTTTTAATATTACAACTCAACCTACGCTGTTGGCTAAGAACAGGAAGTAAGTCCAGAATATACAAAGTGACGTTTGCTAAAGCCAGAGTGGGACTGTCACATAGCAAATTTCATGTTAAACACAACAGTGACAACAAGTCAAGGGGAAAATTCCACTTGACCCAAATATATGCCAGAGCTCAATTACCAGGGTTTGGTCCACATCGCAGCTTCCTTGCGGAAAGCAAAGAGGGTCAGAGCTATTGACACATTACTGAGCCCTGACACAAGCAGTAATTCATACAGGTGAGTTCTAGATGAGCTAGGTATTATTATTACAACTACTACCCCTGCTTTTATTAGATATAATGGGAGGGACAGAATTGTGAGTTTATTCCAAAATGGAGGGTATGATAAGCTATAATTCTTCCAGGCTAGAGTGAATGACAGTCTAGTTATTGTTTTATTCCTTTATTTTAGGAGTACAGGACAATGACTCAAATCCTTAGGTACCAGATTTTGTAGGTATCTAATGGAGAGTCTTCTTGACCTACTAAGATACAACTGAATTTGCTCCAACCCCTCAGACAGAGGCAAACACCTACAAGATCTTTATCAAGCATTCTTAAAACTACAATACCCACCTAGGGAAGTGAGGAAACAGATTGACAGAGCAAGACGGGTACCCAGAAATCACCTACTACAGGACAGGCCCAACAAGGACAATAACAGAACACCACTGGCCATCACATACAGCCCCCAGCTAAAACCTCTCCAGCGCATTATCCACGATCTACAACCTATCCTGGAAAATGATCCCTCACTCTCACAGACTTTGGGAGGCAGGCCAGTCCTCGCTTACAGACAACCCCCCAACCTGAAGCAAATACTCACCAGCAACTACACACCACACCACACCACAGAAACACCAACCCAGGAACCAATCCCTGTAGCAAACCTCGTTGCCTACTCTGTCCCCATATCTACTCTGGCGACACCATCAGAGGACCCAACCACATCAGCCACACCATCAAGGGCTCATTCACCTGCACATCTACTAATGTTATATATGCCATCATGTGCCAGCAATGCCCCTCTGCCATGTACATTGGCCAAACCGGACAGTCCCTCCGCAAAAGAATAAATGGACACAAATCGGACATCAGGAATGGTAACATACAAAAGCCAGTAAGTGAACACTTCAATCTCCCTGGTCATTCTATTACAGATTTAAAAGTCACTATCATTGAACAAAAAAACTTCAGAAACAGACTTCAGAGAGAAACAGCAGAACTAAAATTCATTTGCAAATTTAACACCATTAATCTGGGCTTGAATAGGGACTGGGAGTGGCTGGCTCATTACAGAAGCAGCTTTTCCTCTCCTGGAATTGACACCTCCTCATCTATTATTGGGAGTGGACTACATCCACCCTGATTGAATTGGCCCTGTCAACACTGGTTCTCCACTTGTGAAGTAACTCCCTTCTCTCCATGTGTCAGTATATAATGCCTGCATCTGTAACTTTCACTCTATGCATCCGAAGAAGTGAGGTTTTTACTCACAAAAGCTTATGCCCAAATAAATCTGTTAGTCTTTAAGGTGCCACCAGACTCCTTGTTGTTTTTCTTGACCTACTGTGACAGTGGCTGTAGCACGAGTCCCCGTTCCCCAGATCAATCCAGGTATGGTAAACATACAAGATACCCCGTTGCACATCACTGAATAATCTGTTCAGAGGGCATTGCTGTCTAAAGCAAGATTAAGTGGACTGTGGAGAACCAAGTTAAAAATCCTGGCCCCACTGAAGTCAAGGGCAAAACTCCCAGTGACTTCAATGGGGCTAGAATGTCACACCAAATGTGCTGCTGGTTATTTCTGATTTAAGTCTCATACTTGTACCAACTCCATCCTCACTAGTTTGTCTGCCCAAGTACCAGTGATGTTTGCTGGTTAGCTTTCTATCTTAGAGACTGCATGCTGAATCTACTTTGGAAGCCAAAGGGAGTGTTAACTGCTGCCTAGAAGTAGCCCAATTCATTTAGGCCCAGTCAGAAAGTTAAATGCAAGTTGGGACAAAGACAAAAAATTAGGTACAGAAGGAAGATTTAGAGTGAAACTAAGAGGAAACAAACTGATATCACAAGCCAACACAACCAGGTCCTGGGTACAGAGAACTATGGGAAGCAGATCGTGTTTAATATAGATAATGGGCATCAGTCACTGGTTCACCCCATTGGAATTGCTGCCAGTTTAGCACCATCCCTAGGGGATTCTTCTGTGTCCCACCAACATTCGCATAAGACAGAAATTTAAAACATGGCGTGAAGTCCTGGCCCCACTGAAGTCAATGGGAATTTTGCCATTGACTTCATAGTGGCCAAAAATTGATTTCATTGGGGCCAGAACTTCACCCCTTGTA